GGGCATTCTTGAAGGAACAGAATATTTCTAGAAAACAGGTGGCGTGATACTAGTCACGTGACCTCGCTGAGGCAGCAATATTTTAAAACAATGCACTTTCTATATAGTCCCTTAGGAATTTTCAAAAATTAGGAGAATGTATAATAATAGTAGTATATCAACCACACTGTGTTCGACACATACACTGCCGAAGACGCGTTTAATTCAATCCAGAACTCATCAAACCGGGTGAGACACAACAAACACAGTAGTGGACAGAACACTGTTTATATACGCCATTTGTTTCAACAACAATTGTTATCGTATGAACGCTTGCGATGCATGATTATACTTTTATATTGAATTATACTTTTCATAAGACATTAGTATTAGCCCTATTATATTTTTAACAATTTATTCTTTATCTAGTCCCTTAGGGATTTCCAAGAACTAGAAGAATATTTGTTGTTTCCCAGCCGACCTGATGAACTCTGGATTGAACGAAATACATCGCTGGCAGTGGATATAGCGAACACAGTGTTGTTGAAATACTGTTGCGTATCTGGTTGTTTGTTAATTTCCTTAAGTTCAGGTATGAATTCTTTCCGAGGAACTTCAGCAATACAAGTCCTTTCTTAATTAAAACTAGTTTATTCTTTCTTGATACAATTTTGTAACACACTTAACAACTTTTATAACACATGCTATAAATCCCAGTGATTCACACACACTTTACTTACGCGCCTACTGTTCGCTTGACTCAATTACCTCTATCTTCAATCTATCTATATCTTTTTTATTTATCTGCCTCCCGTGCTGGTTTTACTCGCCAGGCTTACATATTAAAAATAAGGGCGTCTCGAATGCAATTGGGCCTTCATGATCCTTCTAGAAACTCATCACGTGTTACCATCGTCACGTGACTTCCACTGTCGTAACAATACTATAATTATACACTCTTCTAATTCTTGAAAATATCTAAAGGTTTAAATAAAGAATGTAGTGTTTAAACTATAATAGGCCTGATGCTAATATATTATGATAAATATAATTAACCATAATTATGCTTCACCATCTTATAAAAGGCGTTCACACAATAACTACATTCTTTAGTGTACCCCTTAAGAGTTTTTCCAGGAAACGTGGGTAACAGTATTTCATCCACACTATGTTTATATATACACTGCCGACGACGCATTTCGCTCAATATCGGAACTCATCAAGCCAACTAAGATACAACAAACATACTAGTGGTCGCAACACTATTTATATAAGTCATTACAATACTATTTACAGCCATTCTCATATTTGTTTGTATGTTATTCATTCTGCAAAATTTCTATGTAGACAACATCTTTTTGTATAAGAATTTTCATTAGCGTGTTTTCCTTGTCTGGTATTTTTTTTTAAATTTTGTGTTTTATATCTGTAAAATTTCTGAATCTTGAAAATGCAACATAAAGTGGTTCATAGCTGAAAACTGTTTCCAATAAATCTAGTCCTATTTTGTGGAACATTTGTTCTTTAGCTTTATTGACAGTTATCGCAAAGTAATTCTTTTTGGAAACCTTCACTTGATGCTTAAGCATTGCTGGATCAAATGGTGTTAAATCAATTCTTAGAATCAAAATTCTTGTAGATTGAGACTCACCAGTCAATATCTCTGCTTCCATGGTATTAATACGAAGATTTGTTATCGTGAGACGAACTCCATTTACTAAATTTATCTTAATGTCTAAGTTTCTAATCAACACAACTACAGTTCCTATTTCTAACTAGCAAAATGATTCTTTACCTAACTAAATATTTTGATTAAAATCAATAAAAATAAGAATGTGCGGAAAAAACTTGCTAAAGCTATTTTAATCAAAGCAAAACAGGGTACATTGCTTCTTACATGTGCTTTGCATGACATTCCAAGTTTCCAAAATAAATTCCTTATCCTTCGGTGTCCTGATTTCTTCTGTATGGTCAAGTGTCGTTTGCAGCGTATTCTAACTATATTTATCGTCCTATTTAATAAAGATTTGATTTATTCTTTTCTTGTTGCAACACAACGTAAATAAAAATTTGCCACAACCAAACGTTTTTGTAAAGTCATCGTATAGGTAATTCTTGCGAGTAGACGCAAGCAAAGCAAAAGATATGGCTGAAGTAAGCATATTTAGTTACGGGAGTGTGCGTGCATGTTCAAGAGAATGCATCAGTCTTTTTTAGTTAATGGGAGTTAGAGAGTAGGCATGTATGTATAGAAGAAAGAGAGAGGGAGGTAAAGAGAACAAACGAAGGTTGCACGAAATTTTTATATCGTTTTAACACATAATTGATCATTGATACAATCATTAAGAGAAGTCCCCATACAAAGAAGAAACGTAAATAATAGCCCTCTTGATCACACGTTACCAAAAAAAATCTGGCCTTTTCAATTTGAGACCAATTGTTCGTCCTGTTTGCCAAAAATTGCTATATCGATCACTTTGGCCTGAATTTGCTGCCTCAAAACAGCCTCTGAGACCGCAGCCACATAATTCATCAATTTCCTGCACAAAGGTTTATCTGTACCCTGAGTTTGGAGATTGTAGCTTTAAAGATTTGGCCCACAGAGAGAGAGAGAGAGAGAGAATTCGCGCTTATATACATAGATATCACTCTATGTGGCGGTAAACCTGCAGAGGTTAAACTATTGATATGTTCTGTTCATATGTTAATGTACTCGTTCGAATCATCAATGGCAATGCTGTCCACACTACAGTAGTTTTTGATTTTCCAATTAAAATGTTTTCTACGGCATCACCGTTGATTTTTAAACTATGTCTATTTTTAAACATAATATTGCCCTATCCTTTACGTTTTTAACATTTTCTGGTATTAACTTTCTGCCAAATATTTCTTCAGTTATACACTCTTTTGGTATTTTCAAACAATTTTCTGGCAATTGGGGAATTTGTTTCATTTGTCGATTCTCCAGATTTAGTAACCATTTGCTGAACTCTTGTTGTCCAAGTACAGTTCTCAAATTTCTTGTTAGTTTCAGTTTTTTTTTTTCGGCCACAATTTCCAAAATTGTTTTGGATGCTTCAAGATACGTGTATAACAACTGGAAGCACGTGTCTGAACTCTCCGCTAAGTACAATAATTTTGTTTCCAAACACTTCATTTCTTCTGGTGACATCTCAACTAGTCTAACCAAAACATCTAAGACAATTTTTCTTGTTATCGACGTTTCATCCCATACAGTTAGAGAAGTCTTTCTCAATAATTCTGCATATTTATTGTTGGCTGTAATATCTAAAACAGAATTTTCTAAAAGAGGCAATGGAAATTTAAACATGTACTGAGCTATTCTGCCTTTTAATTGCAGCAATTCCAGTTCAGACAAACGGCAAAATTATTTTTTGTTGGTCCTCTTAATTTATGCATTAACCACTTGTATTCTTCTCAGTTCTTCCTGGTCCATTTTTAAAATATGTCTTGTGACCATTCTCTCCATTTACAGCAGATATAATTTCGCTTACTATAACTCGTTGTTCTTCAGTGGTGGGTAGAACACAGAGAGCCATTGTGTAGCTTTGCGCTTAACAAAAAACAAACAATAATTCAAGTTATTATAATATTCTTCTCCCAAAATAACTTCTTTGACCATATCTTGTTAAATTTCTTCGTCGTAGAATATATCTTCACTGTGTGGAACTGGAATCTCGTAATCATTACATTTTTTTATCCATGTTGC